CCCCCCCCCCCCTGTGTGCGCCACTGCTTCTACGAGTTTTCTCATCCCGAGCGGACGTAATCTCCCAGTCGTTCCGTCGTAGAAAGTGTTTCATTGCTTTAAGTGCCTCTTTGTCTAATATTACTTACCTTTAAATTCATTGTTAATTTGTTATTGTTGTTTACCTATGTTAATCATAATAAATATTTGTTTGTTATGGATTAAGGTTTTATTTCTCTATCTTGAGTATTATCGACGTTAATTTTACTGTCGACATCCCGCCGCATTTAGGCCTACCCCCTATTTTCAGATATATTAATTGATTCTTCACATTCCTTAGAATATTTGTTATATTCTACTTCTGTAGACACTGATAGACCATGTGCTTCGAAGATTCTAAAAATATAATAAAATTAAATTGTGCTTTATATTCTTGGTCAGAGGTTCCCAAACTTTTTTGTCTCATAGACCCCTTGCCATGTTTTTCGGTTTCGTGTAGACCCCTACTTACCTAATATTACATTTTTGCAAATTTATCAACTTAAATGACTTTTGACAGCTTGTATAGCACTACTTACTTTAACATTTCAACGCATTTGGCTTTAATCTTTTAAGGTTTAATCCTAAATCTCCTCACTTAGTAGTATCCAATCTTTCTTTTTTTTTGTCTCTCTGTTTTTATTTTGGAGATTGGCAAGCACGCTGAAACTCCTTCTCTCTGGGAGAAGCAATTAAAAACTTTTTTTGAGATGTTCCATAATTCGAGATAAATAACAGGTATGTAATATCTTTTTAAAGCCAAAATTGCTGACATTCATTTCTAAACTTTACCTTAAGATCTTCATTTGAGCTATTAAAATCAGTTGCTTTTGTAATCAGACATTTTTTTAATGTGACAACATGAATTCATTACCGACTGTGATATTACCATAGTCAAATCATTCTCAAATTTAATTTCAAAACCTGAATAAAGGGCATTTAACTGTTGAACATAGGTTAAAACCAGGGGCGTAGCTACCACCGTATGAATGAAATCGGGACTCCGAGCTACAGAGGCCCCAATATGTGGAACTACAGTCCCACTAACAGGGTTTTCATTCCTTTAAAAAGGACCCCGAAGGAGTTTTGATACAGAGCCCCCTCAGAACTAGCTACTCCAGTGGTTAAAACGTCATTTTTCTGGCATATTGTCTGTGACAAAATGAGAAACTGTTAAAATTTGCGACGTCCAGTTTTATATTCCTTTGGCTTGTTTCTGGCGCGCACACAAGAAACACAGAAATGATGGTCCTTTTTTTTAATAAAATTTATGCTGCCGCCTTTTGTAACTGCAAATTAACCCCAGTAAATTTAGTAAATAAAGCTGTTAAATAGATAAATCTGGTCAAGATTAAATTTTCTTCTAAAATTAAAGTCACGATCTGGTTTAGGTTATCATAGATCCCCATTTACACCTCATGGACCCCCAAATTATTT